ATTCTATTCTATTCTATTCTATTCTATAGCAGTGTGACAACAAGGCCGAGACGATGCATTTGAGTATCCTTCTGTGGTAGGAAAGGGACTGGGGGCAATACAACAGCCACCGCCAGTGTGCAGCTGAAATTCCCTCCTCCCCAGATAGCAATGGCAGCTCTGCCCACGGATTTCACTAAAACAAATCCATGCCACTGTATAATTGCTTGCAATAAACTTAGTCACTCGGCGAAACAATCATGCCCAGCAGAATGATGCCCCTTGTGCAAGGCCGGCCTTTTGCAATGCGTTGAGGAAAAAAAAGAAAGCACCGTTTCTATTTCTAAAGATCTTCTCTCAGTTGGGCAACTCTTTGTTGGCATCTAATGGTCTTGTTGTGGGTGTCTAAAGGATGATTTGGCCCTGCCCCAGAAATTGTGTTTACACATAGATTTAACAGGCTCAGGAAAATAAGCAGGGATGCTTTTCTCAAATGTGTAAAGCTTGGCTAGCGTTAAGCTTCACTATTTTTTTTTTTTTTGTAGGTAGGTGTTTTGATAAAATGCATCCTGATTGATGAATTTATGTCATGTCAAGTGCATGCAGAGAACGATTCAGTTGGCCAAATTAAATGTTGCATAAACAAAGTCAGTGTGTGTGCAAGTGCTATCTGACTCTAGTAACAAATGCTAGATTTTGGTTCTAACTGATTTTGACTGATTTGTAGTGAGGCTGCTAGTCCTCATTATATATATATATATATATATCTTATACATTCACACATTCATTGGAGCTTAAAATCATTTTTATTCTGTGATCAGGTTTATGTTTTATTTGGTGGGTGAACTCTCTTTTTCTTATCTTTTTTGAGAGAGAAAAATGCCCATCACTTTTTTTCATTTTGGGTAGGAGAAAGAAAATAAAAAATTATATAGAAAGAGCAACTTGAAATTGTGATTCCACGCATCCGTGAACACTGTTTGAGCATTGTTGTCTTGTTTTTTTTTTCCAGAAGTGACTTACACAAACACACACACCGCAGTCCTTCCCGTCGATATAACTATTAGCTACTGCTGTGTGTTTTTTAAGGAGCAACTCTGAGGTTGCTCCTTCTAGGTTCACCTGAAATGTAGCAATAATCCTGTTAGTTCTATACACTAGAGATTTTTTTCCATCTTTCCCCTTTTTTTGCTATGTGTTTAAAAAGCTGAAAATGTTGTCGCCTAGCAGGGTGATATACCTTCTGGAGTCTGATTATGAGTTTTGTTAAGTTATCTGAGTACTGTGGGAATAGTGATTCAACAAGAGATCTTTGTCTGATTCAAATTGGATTTTGATATGCTAATAATTGAAATAACAGGAGAATTTACGGGGGGGGGAGAACACCTCCAAATATTAACCTCAAGTAAAAAGAAACATTGGTTGAAATGACAGCAGAATAAAAGTGGAAATGGCTTTGAGCAAGAGAATGGGGATGGATTGAAAAACTGAAGAGTTTATGAATGAATTATTAGAAAAAATAATGTAAGTACATAAGAAGGGCTTTTCTAGAGTTAAAAAAAAGAACTTTTAGTCTAGCGTTCTGTTTCTAGCTGACAGATAACCTTCCACTGTTGCATATACTATATTATTCAGAGGTAAAGTGCCTCTAACCATGGAAGTTCCATTGGGTTACATCTAAAAATAAAAGAAAGTATCAGCTGGATCTGAGTCAAGAACAGATTAAATGAAATCAGATTGGATTACTAATCTACTTAACAAAATAAATAAATACACTAAATAAATTTACTAAGAGGAAGCTGCATGCTGCATAGTGCAAGCAAGGGGGAAAAAAAACAAACCAGAGTTTTCCTTCATAGCAAAAGGGATTATGAAATTGATAATAACCCTGAGTTGTCAGATAAGATCTGGCTCTAACATTGATGATGGGATGGGCCTCCTACAAACAGGCACAAAACTTAATTTATAAATATTTCTTCATAGACTTAGGTGTCCCCAGACATTCAATGGACTTTAAAAATGGTAAGAATTTTAAATTCTCAGCTATAGTTCTGTGAGGTATAAGAACCAAATGAACCAACTTTCTAGTTAGAAAAAGTCTGATAGGACCTTGAATAAAATTCATTTGATAATTTCTAATTAACATTTTTAATAATTGGTTTGTTGGAAAAAGGGCTGCTAGATTTCTGATTTTTGGCTACCAAAGACTGACAAAACATTTTCCTGCAAACTTTTAAAAGCTCATGGTTTTCCCTTTTCCCACAGGGCTATGACTCATGTAGGCCTTGTATTCAGCCAGTATTGCTCTGTACAGGTTATGAAGCAGAAGTTGTGTGTGCAGGAAGCACGGTCATTTCTTTGTAGTATGAGGCTGCTTCTGACACCAGAAAGGATCTCTCATTATCCCGCTAATATTAACCAATATAGTGGAATAATGGAATAGTGGCTAGGGTTTTGGTGCTCACTAGTCCAACACATGAAAGCCACATGAAAGCCAACACATGAAAGTCCAACACATGAAAGCCAACACTAGTCCAACACATGAAAGCCACAGGCCATAGCATCGACTTCAATGGCACCAAAACCCTAGCCACTATAGAAAACCCCAGCCACAGAATTATCAGAGAAGCCATAGAGATTGAAAAAAGACCTGAAAGCATGAATAGAAGAGATGATTCCACCAGACTGTCAATTATTTGGAAGCCTGCACTCACAAACAAAAAAAATCTCCACACCACAAGCCAGGCAAACACCTGGGCACAAACAGATCCCCCCTGATACCTCCAGCTCAAACACACCCCAACCAGATGAAACCTAGCTTCCTAATAAATGATAGCCGTCCGTTTACTCAGAGCCAAGCCGCACTAAAAGCCTCCAATACAGGAAACACAATGTTGCCAGCCAATCAAGACAAAAAAAGCTACAAAACAGACAGAAGATATTAGAAACACCAATCAAGCAGAACACAGCAAACTCCAAGACCAATAAACACAGACCAAGACTCCCAACCAATCAGGATGAAGAAAAAACCATTCTGGCACAGCAGTAGGCTAGCACCAAATTTAAAATAGAAACGGCTGTGAAAGTCTGACTCACAGACGAACACAATACAGCCTGATGATGGCAGATGAGATTCTGCCGAAACGTTGCTACAACTTTAAAAGCACAACTATAATGAGGTGGGAAAATACCCAAACAAAGCTGAATACCATACATATAAATACCCGCGAAAACTTAAGAAAACAAACATATATGCGTATATACATATGTGGGGGTGAATATATAACTCTGTGTGTGGGCGTGAACACCCACTTACATTTATTCTCAGGTTATTGGTAATTTAAAAGCAATAGGAAACTACAGGAAGATTTTAAAAAAGAAAAATAAATAAGCTATTTTTCCTTTCCTTTCTTTTTCCTTTTCCTTTCCCATTTTTCTATTTTTCTTTTTACATGATTACAGTGAAATAGAATCTTGAAAAATGAAAAGCAGTGGTGACATCAATATTAATACATGTTCAGAGATTTCTCATTATTTCTTAAGAAGATGCAATAAACTTAGTTCTTTTCCTTTAATTAATTAACAAATGAAAGATGAATTTTAAATATTAGGATAACTATAAACTGCCTATAACTGGCACCAAGATTTGTTTTTTGTGTCGTTTTCTATCTTTTTTCCCACCTTTATGTAGCTATTGATGTTGTCCTGTCCAATGTTTTCCTAAATAAATAAAACATTAATTCTTAACAACAACAAAAATGAACAGGGAGATTAAAAAGCAAATGCTATGAAGTGTTTGCAATGTGTTCTAACCGAATTGAAATCATGAGGGCTTAACTTTGCTCACTTTCCGCTTTTTAAAATATCTCATCATTTGGACTATTATGAGAACTTCTAGGCTGATTTTGGAAATTGGTACAAAATCCCATGTTTGTACTGTTCATACTCCATACTGTACTCTTCTTTGGCCAGAAAAAATCTGCATCAGGCACGAGCCCCCTCCACGGGGAACTGATGTGGAGTTTGTGCTCTTGGAGGCTTGAGAGGGATCTGTTCTTTATTATTCCCCATTGTGGTTGTTTTATTCTTCTATTTTGGCAGGCTCAGAGACACAGATTGGGCAAGGAGGGAGATTGGGAGATCTCAGTGGCCAAGATTGTTTGTTTCTCTTCCCTGTCTTTATCATACTTGTAGGCCACTATGTTAGTTTGTTCAAAGTACTCGATTGCCCCCTCCTGGCCTTAGATGGACTTACATCCCCTTTAATTGGAAGTGGATTCTAATTAATACTAATTACTAAATACTATTAGTATAAATTAGTTACTATTTATTTATTTATTTATATTTGTTTAGTATAAAAGATACTAATTAAGATGTGATGTTAATAAGAACAGTTGCACATTTTTGAGCCTATTTTCTAAAGCACCTGAAGGCCAGACAAGGAATAATGGATGGAAACTGAACAAGCAGAGATTTAACCTGGAAATAAGGAGAAACTTTCTGACAATGAGAACAATCAACCAATGGAACAGCTTGTCCTCGGAAGTTGTGGGAGCGTCATCACTTGAGATTTTCAAGAAGAGATTGGACTGCCATTTGTCAGAAATAGTGTAGGGTCTCCTGGTTAGGCGGGGGGTTGCACTAGATGACCTACAAGGTCCCTTCCAACTCTGATTATCTGTAAATCTGCCTACTGTGGTATAGCTAGACCATTAATAGTTTCTTGGTTTAACTGTAAATATGCCTCCTTCAAAAAAAATACTGTAATTTCTACAAATCCAGCAGAGGCTAAATAGGAAAAGGTGAGCCAAAATGGTCAGTTAGCAGCCTCCGGTGGTTATTTCCTTTGAGAGCTCGTGTTATTTCTCTTTTTTTCATCTGCTTTCTTCGCTCTCTCCCTGTCTCCCACACATACACATGTACAAAATCATACATTCAACGCATGTTCAGAAGGTGTTTTTTTTCATTTTTGAGTGTATTTTAAATTTAAAACATTGATTAATACTGCCAATGAAATTCAGCTTTTCATTCTTCTCTTCCTCCTACAGCACAAATTGAAGTTATCCCTTGTAAGATATGTGGGGACAAGTCTTCAGGGATTCACTATGGAGTCATCACCTGTGAAGGATGCAAAGTAAGTTGGAAGCCTGGGAGTGCTTTGGGTGAAGGAGTGAACAGCTTACCAACTTTGCAACCTGCTCAGAACACAACTGTACTTGACCATAGAGAAATTAAACCTACTAACTTTTATGAAACTTCCATATCAATGTATATAGCCCATAGCTAACGTCTGTTCTTAACCACCCTTTAATGATCTCAGAAAAACTAATAAATAAATACTATCAATATGAGGATAATGTCAATTGAAACCTAGTACACCTGGAACATCAGATTGGCAAAGGATGATATATTGCAAATATTATAATAGAAACAGATTTACCATTATCTAAAATCTTTTTAGTAGGACTTCATTAGTAATTACAAAGCGTTTAAAGGTCATGTAATCTCCAAAACACCATATGTAACACGGTACCCATTTTTGTGACACATTCCAGGCCCCAAATCATTTACACCCCAAAGATGTTTACGTTTTGTTGACCTATTAAGAATAATATGTCACCCTGAGATGTAAAAATTTCACATTCTAATTTAAATGGATTTGATTTGTTTCTGTTCATTAAAAAATATGAACAGAATTGTTTGCTAAACCAAACCTTTTTATATAAAAAGAGAAGCTTTTATAAAAATGGCAACTATTAGAAATAGAAAAATTACAATGAATTTAGTTGTGGCAAGAAAATTGGAAAGATTAAATCTTAGAAAAGAATCCCTAAATATGTTTCTTTCTTTGAAGATTATTCAGAATTACGTAAAATGCTGTTCTTGGCTAGTTCTAGTTATAGGAGCCAATGATCCTTTGTTAAAAAGCACAAACAGTATCTGTTTTGAGTATTTAAGCTTTAAACCACTTAAGTCAGTGGTTGGCAACCCAGCAGCACCTTTAGATATGATGATGTCCATTATACTTCAAAGAGTGCAGGACTTCAAAGTTTTTATAATTTCTCTGAATGGCCAACCTCTCACAAGATTGGTAAATCATGATGGATTGTATGCAAGAGTTTTGGAACTTTGGGAATCTTAGATTGAAAATCCATAAGCGATTTTAGGAGAGTTGGATTCCTCACAGGACATCTTGGAAGAATCTGGTAAGATTTAGAAATTGTGTAAGATTGGGGGTAGTTTGAGAAAGGGGGCACTCAGGACCAGGATGGCTACCACACCCTGGTTCAAGGCAATTTCTCTGCCTTGATGTTAAGATTTTCTAGAAGAGGCTGTAATACTGTTTGGAGTGCAATTAGTGTGTACTTCAGCTGTTCTAAAGATTTGGGAAACCCTTATTAAGAGAAGCTTGTCTAAGCTCCTTTTAGAGATAATCTTCTACCAACAGAAGTAAAGTCTTCTTTTTAAAATAGGAGGTTTGCCTCTACAGATGAGTTGTTGTTTTCTTTTGCTACTCTGTGCGTGAATTAGCCGCAATATTGACATCCATTTTAATTTTTTTCTTATGTTTCATTCATATTTTATTTTGCTTATTAATTCACTTATTCCATTTTTATGCCACCCACCTTTTCCCTATAAAATGATTCATATGGTTTTTAGGATAATTGGCTAGTTTGCCCTAGACATATTTTATAGGGAAATAGAATATGGTATCCATCAAAAAAATACATTGGCACGCAAGGTTGAAAAATATTGGTCTGTCAAAAAAAAAAAAAAAAAAAAAACCCCAGAGGTCTGGGTAGCACTTTTGCTGACTAAAAACAACCCTCTGCATACATAACCAGACTATGATGGTTTTCCTTTTCCTTCACTTCTTTTTTCCTTTTCCTTCACTCCCCAACCCCTTGTTTAAACCCTCCAACAGTCCAATCATTCTGTGCATCTAATGAAATGAGCTGCAGCTCACAACAGCTTATGCTTTTTAGTAACACGTGTTACAGTGGAATTAGGGCTGGAACCTTGGAGGTCTTCTAGTCCAGGCAAGGCAGGAGCTTTATATCATTGCAGTCAAATGATTGTCTGGTCTATTTAAAAAAAAAAAAAACTCCAGTGATGGAGCACCCATAATTCTGAGAGGCAAACTATTCCGTTGATTAATTGTTCTCACCGTCAGAAGATAGTTGGAAAAGGTGCTATCAGACTCCTTCTAATCTCTTGTTTAAAACTTTTTGATTTTTTTAATTCAAAAAGTTAAAATACAACCTCCCCCCCACCCCCACCCCAAAAAAAAACCAATATATTTTTTTACATAACCAAAAGAAAAATAAACAAGACATTGGAAAAAATGCATTAAGAAAAAGGACACAAACATATACATTATCTCCCCAAGTTGAATACTGTATTCAGACTCCCTAATCAGCACAATACTCACCCTGCAGAGTAGGAAAGGATGAGAAGATCTGGCTGGAGTTACTCATAGGCTCTGCATGGAAAACTTGGTCCTGCATCCTCCCATTCACCATCCAGCTCTGAGAAACAAGGTAATAGAGTTGGAAGGGGCTTCGGAGGCCTTCGAGTCCAACCCCCTGCTTAGGCAGGAAACCCTATACCATTTCAGACAAATGGCTGTCCAATCTCTTCTTAAAAACGTCCAGTGTTGGAGCATTTACAACTTCTGGAGGCAATTGTTCTGAATTGCTCAAGTCTCTGTTCCTCTTTGAATTCTTGAGACAACGGCCAATGATGCAGTTCATTTGAAGATCCTTTGGAATGGGCCGTAAGTGTCGCACAGCCATAGCTGCCACCCAGCCGTCTTCCGTAATATGGAGTCCCCCAGTTTGTTGCAAATCTGAGCATATATATTCCTCCTTTTTTTCTGCAGGGTTTTTTCCGCAGAAGCCAACAGAATAACGCCACTTACTCTTGCTCGCGGCAGAGGAACTGCCTGATCGACAGGACCAACCGAAATCGGTGTCAGCACTGCCGACTGCAGAAGTGCCTGGCCCTGGGCATGTCCCGTGACGGTGAGTGCTGGATTTAGTCTGGCAGGTGAAAACCGGTGAGCCAGTGTGGGAACAACATCGGAATGGCTCAGGATTAGAAAAGGAGAGGAAGGATCCTGGAGGCGGCAAACGGGGTTTTAAACATGGGTGCAGGAAGCCACAAGTTCCTCCACGAAGCGTGTCGGATGTAAGCTAATCTAGGAGTTTAGTTGGTCATTGTGGTCTGAAATGGCATAGGGTCTCCTCTCCTGCATGAGCAGCGGGTTGGACTAGAGGACCTTGAAGGTCCCTTCCACCTCTGTTAATCAGAAAGAGATCCTAGAGTTTAGGCAGGAAAACAAGGGAGTTCTAATTTTTCTGTACCGCAGTGCCATCTCTGGCCAAAAGGAAATATTGCAGTTTCAGATTCATCATGTTGCGCCAGCACAGGTAGTTCTTGACTTCCGACAATTGAGCCCCAAATTTCTGTTGTTAAGCGGGACGGTTGTTAAATGAGTTTTGCTCCATTTTATTAGCTTTCTTGCCACCATTGCTAAATAAAGCACTGCGGTTGTTAAGTAACATGGTTGTTAAGTGAATCTGGCTTCCTTATTGACCTGAGTTGTCAAAAGGTGATCGTGTGACCCTGGTACATTGCAACCGTCATAAATATGAGTCAGTTGCCAAGAATCTGAATTTTGATCACATGACCGCAGGGATGCTGCAATGATCTTAAGCGTGAAAAATGGTCGTCACTTTTTTCAGTGATGTTGTAACTTTGCACAATCCCTAAATGAACTGTTGTAAATTGAGGACTACCTGTAGGCCTTGATTTACGAACATAATGGAGCCTACCCACCATGGTTGTAAGTCGAGATGGTCGTAAAGCAGGTCACCCACAAGACCAGCCTATTTTTATGACCTTTTTTGGCAGTTGTCATTAAGCAAGCGCTAAAGTGTCACCCAAACCATTGTGGTGTGTCACCGTTGACACGCGTGTCCTAGGTTCACCATCACTATTCTAGCTCTTTAGGAGAGCTCAACAGTCTTCATCCCTGGTGGTTCAGTGGTTAGACTGTTGCATTGCAGCTAATTCTGCCGACAGCCTGCAGTTCGAATCTCACCAGGCTCAAGGTTGACTCGTCCTTCCATCCTTCCGAGGTTGGTAAAATGCAGACCCAGTTTGTTGGGGATAATATGCTGACTCTGTAAACCATTTAGTGAGGGCTGTAATGGCAATAGCACTTAGACTTATATACTGCTTCACAGTGCTTTATAGCAGGGGTCTCCAACCTTGGCAACTTTAAGCCTGGAGGACTTCAATTCCCAGAATTCCCCAGCCAGCAAATCTGTCTGGGAAATACTGGGAGTTGAAGTCCTCCAAGCTTAAAGTTGCCACGGTTGGAGAACCCTGCTTTATAGCCCTCTCTAAGCGGTTTACAGAGTCAGCCTCTTGCCCCCAACAATCTGGGTCCTTATTTAACTCACCTTGGAAGGATGGAAGGCTGAGTCAACCTTGACCCTGGTGAGATTTGAACGGCCAAATTGCAGGCAGCTGGCAGTCAGGAGAAGTAACCTGCAGTGCTGCATTCTAGCCACTGCACCACTGTGGCTCTGTAAGGCGGTGTATAAGTGCTATTGCTATCCTCACGCTTGGTTTTGCTTGCTTTGTTTTGCCCTAATTGGCTTGCAGCAGTAAAATTCGGCCGCATGTCGAAGAAGCAGCGGGACAGCCTCTATGCCGAGGTCCAGAAACACCAACAAAGCCAAGAACAAAGCGTGGGAACCAAGGACGACCCAGAGACCATGTCGAGGGTCTACACCACCAGCGTGAGCAGCGGACTCTCTGACCTGGATGACATCTCCATGTTGTCGGACAGCTTCCTCTTTGATTTTCCCCTGAGCCCTGACGGGAACAGCAGCTACTACAACCTGGATCTCCTAACCTCAGCGCAGCCATCGCCCGACCAGTCCAGTATCGACGTCAGTGACACCAAGTTCATTAAGCAGGAGTCCATCTACGAGCTCATGCTGGAACCTAGCCTCTTTCCTCATGGTCCCCTTGAAAGCAACGCGCTGACTTCAGACATCTCAGCGATGGAAATGGGTTAGTATAATGCTCTCTCTGCTTGCAGCAGTCAAATCTCTTCCAACACACAGGAGGAGGGATAAAGGCCACTGCTAGCCATTATAAAGGCTGCTAGTGTTATCCATGCTGTATCAGCACCTATTTGCCCTCTCTGCGTTCATGCATGCTTCTAGTCCTGATCGTTCTTTGACACTTTAACAATTTTAAAAGAGTTAAGCTATCTGCAGCGCAAGAACTGGAAATAACCCTAAAACCGGTTTTTGTTCTTTCTGACTATATTTGCTAGAAGTCAGTGGTCCAAATTCCTTGTATTTTGAGGTGGGAAACATCTAAAAACCGTTGTCTGTGCTATCAAAGGGAGCAAACAGTTTAAAAACAAAACAATCACAGAATATTTCCTAAGCTAACCCCATTGCTTCATTGACTTGCTCACCAAGGCCAGATCACCAAAGAATTAAATATAATCGCTGAACTGTCCAGTTTTAGGCTGATTGCATGTGCATTGAACTGGCTTTTAAGTAGTTTACTCGAGCGTAACAAGCAATTGCAGGTAGCCCTCAATGTGTCTGACTATAATTGCAGGTAGCCCTCAATGTGTCTGACCATAAGTGAACCTGGCATTACAGTCAGAAGTCATGGCAGTTGTTAAGAAGGTCACCACATGACCGCGCCCAATTTTATGACACTTTTGTGGCAGTTGTGAAGCAAACACTTTCATAAGCAAACAAATGTGGTAGTTTCTTAAGAGAACACTATGCTCTTTAAACAAACCCATTGTAATCAATGGGTGTTTTTTGCCAGAAACTAAAAGTAAATACTGGAAATCAGCAGAGCCTGCCAAAAATCCCAGTCAAATGATTGCAACACTGCAACTGGCCATAAAGGTGAGCCAGTTGCCAAGTGCCTGAAATGCAGTCGCGTGACTGTGTTGGGGAGGGGAGAGGAATGCCCATTGGAACTCTGCAAGCCGGTCGTAGGTAGCTCTGGTGAGGTCCGCCGTAACTTCAAACAGTCTCTAAGCAGCCAGTCATTAAACACATACACACAACAGGGAGAGAGTTGGTGGGTGGAACTGCATACATTCCTGCAACATTTACAAGGAGATTGTGGTTTTGAGAGAGTGACATCCAAACCCCAAAACAGAGCATGGGTAATTATAGTCCCCAATAGTCCAAAAGTCCAGTTGTCCAGAGGATTGATCAACTGGTCCAGGGTAAAATTGCCGAGGCTCAGGATGCAAACAGAATAACAAATGCAGGAACACAGAGTCGAGGTTGGTGCAGGTGGTTTTTAAAGTGAAGAAGATGCCAACTTTTAGTGGGTGTTGTAATATCTAACACCTAAGCGAGATGGGCAGCATACAAGTCAGAAAGAAAGAAAAGAAAGAGAGAGAGAGAGAGAGAGAGAGAGAGAGAGAGAGAGAGAGAGAGAGAGAAAGAAAGAAAGAAAGAAGAAAGAAAGAAAGAAAGAAAGAAAGAAAGAAAGAAAGAAAGAAAGAAAGAAAGAAAGAAAGAAAGAAAGAAAAAGAAAGGCATGCATATCGGACCTTGGAGATAGGCAAAGAGAAGCAACATAAGTTGGGATTCCACAATGAGACTTCATTGTTGTGTCTGAGTTCCTGTCTGTGCCATTTTATACCGAACAGCAATCAAGCAGTTATTTTTAACTTTCCCTCTCGCATTCACATCTGTCTCTGGACTGTGCAATCTCTTCTGCAAATCCCTCCTTAATGGCTTTCCTAATGTCAGCTCTAAATCCTTTTAAAGTTGGTCTCTTGGCTAAGCTCTTCAGAGTTTCCAATGTGCCCTCCAGCTGGGTGATCTTTCAGAACAGAGTTTGAGAAACCTTGGCAATTGGAAGGTGTGTGGACTTCAATTCCCAGACTTCCCCAGCCAACCATGGCTGGCTGGGAAATTCTGGGAGTTGAAGTCCACACATATTTATTAGGTTGCCAAGGTTGAGAAACCTTCCTTTCCTACCTGCTGCAATTGATCGCCAACCAGATCTTCTGGATCAAGCCTCGCCACCTCTGAATCTGAGGAGGAGGCCAATGCAGCATCCCCAAAAGATGGGTGATGCCTGATTTTAGGGGTGGAACAAATGCCTTGGGAGCAGAGATCTTGAATTTAATTCCTGAGATCTGGCTATCGCTGATGGGAAAGACACTTGTGAATCATCCTGAAGATGCAGCTAATCAGAATAGATCATGCTAATAACTGACCTTATGTTCTTGACTTCTGCCTAATCCATTTATCTTGCTTTGGTGTTTAGCATCAGCTCCTCTTCTGATTGCAGTATCTATTCGTACTCAGTTACTCAGTCATGTAACTGTAAGCAATGATCATACAGTGATTAGTGGGATTATTCCTGCCCCCATCCTCCACCCCTTCCTTCTCTGCCTTTCCCCACATTTGATAGTTGGCATGCAGAGGTGCCAAATATTTTGTGCTTCTGAGTTTATGACATGACATGACATATTGAGATGGGTTATATGCTGGATAGATGTTGGAGTTTAAACCCACTAAAATGTTGCTTTCTGACTCATAACGGTTAGATACTGTAATCAAAAGAAGAGCTCAAGGTGGCAAACATATCCAACACACCTTCCTATTTTCCCACAACAACCATCCTGTGTGAGATGGTTTGGGCTGAGAGAAATTGACATTCCCACAGTCACCCAGCTGGCTTTCATAGCTACGGCTAGTCTTGAACTCACGGTCTCCCGCTTTCTAGTCTGGCGCCTTAAGCCACTAGACCAAACTGGCTTTATATTTATATATATTTTTTAATTTCATGTTCAATTTCAGGATATTTCTTTTGGGTTGGTTGAGATACTCATCTAAATCCATTCATAAAAGAATCCCAAAATAATGAATGAATCAATATGAATCAGTCAATCAGATAATGCAAAGAATCATTTAATGCAAAACCAAGAGGCTGTTTTTTCTCAAACAACAGTCTTAACAGTACTGTGATTTCCGTATGACCTTTGTGAGACAGTCAGAGCTGCCAAATAATTTTCCGGTTTGGCGACAGAGCACAATGCTTAAGAACCTTTGCAATGTTGCATTCCCAGAGCGCCTAGCCCAGAATGTGGTGAAGTCGCACCTTGAGACATCGCAGTACACCAGCGAGGAGCTGCAGCAGTTCGCTTGGGCACTCTACTCTCAGGAGGAGATAAGGACCATGCAGAACACAGTAAGTACTTCCTGCAAGATTGGGTTAGGAATCCCTCTTAGTCTGAGCTACTAGTGCAAGGGTGGGCAACTATGGTACCTTTACAACCTGGTTCAGGAATTCTGGGAGTTGAAGTCCACAGATCATAAAGGGGCCATAGTTGCCCACCCCTGTGCTAGAAGTGTCACAAAACCAGGTTGGAGAAAACATACTTAGTGGATTGTCCATAGCAAGGTATACTGCTTCTAGACATGGAGCTTCTGTTTAGCTGCCATTATAACAACTGTGAGATGTCCCAGGGCATGGCACAAAGGCAACACAGTCAGATAAACAGTAAGAGTCCCTTTATTATCTCCAACTTTTCCCCCAATGTCTAGTTTACCTTCTGGTTGGAGAAAAATTCTCCCAGGAACAGTCTTTGACTGCAGAAAATTAAGTCCAAAACATGAGCAACACAAACTGTAACTTAAAGTCCAAACAAACCAAACTGAAGTAATTAGTTTGGCAGGGCAGAAGCAAGAATTTCAGGTTTGAAGGCAAAACTCACACGGTTGGGAAGATGCCAGGAACACAGATAAGCCACGACAACACAGGATAAAGTCACTTTTGCTCCCAGCAGCCTGCCGCACGCAGCCTGCCTTTCTTATAAACTTTCATTCCCAGGTGTGGCTAATGAAGGGAATCAGGGCCCTTTCCTCCCCCGTAAGCCACGCAACCCACATTGCTCTCTTCTCCGTTCCTCCCTGTGTGCCCTAGAATGAAGAGCGGGCAGGCATGGGTCTTCCTCTGAACTCCTTCTCCCTTGTTCTATCTTTTCCCTGCTGCCCAGCTGGACATTGTCCTTCCCCAGCCTCCTCCACAGCCAATGGCCACACTCCCACTCCCTGTCAGCTGTCCGGCTTCCTCCTCGGATTCAGACTCCAACGGGGCCATGACAAACTGTTATTCTGAAGGCATTTTTGAGTGGCCAAAAAAAGTCAAAATGGTGGTCACAACTGTGCAATGGATGTCCTACCCCTTTTCTATGCATCACATGCATAGAAAGGACAGGGCTTCAATCATGTGGTGGTGGCCACTTCTTTGACTTTTGTGATGCCCCTCCCCCCATACACGCCGACAGTACTTTCCATTTTCTAATGGAAAGCACTATTGCAGGAGTCTCCAACCTTGGCAACTTTAAGCTTCAACTCCCAGAATTCCCCAGCCAGCAAAGCTGGTACTATTAGATCTCTTCGATCTGGCCATTACTTGCCCCAACGCTAGGCTGGTGCCAGGATGGAGGTTCATCTCAGCCTTGGGACCCAGAAGGAATGAGGGCCGTGTGCATATAATCGCTGCGTGTCATCAAGCATTCAACACTGTTCATATTAATGAACATTTCTCCCGTCTGTTGCTCTGCAGAACTGCGAGGTGATGTGGCAAGAGTGTGCCGTCCAGATCTCCAATGCCATCCAGTACATCGTGGAGTTCGCCAAGCGCATTGATGGCTTCATGGAGCTGTGCCAGAATGACCAAATCATTCTTCTCAAAGCAGGTAAGAGAGTTGGGGTTAGTTTTCTTTAGATCCGGGTTTCCAAACCTTGGAACCTTAAGACGCATGGACTTCCAATTCTCAGAATTGCCAAGATTGGAAAACCTGGTTTGGATTTTGGGGTTAGGGTTTGTTTAGATCAGGGTTTCCCAATTAAGATGCATGGACTTCCCAACTTTAGCAACATTAAGACATGCTGGCTGGGGGATTCTGGGAGTTGGAAGACCACATGTCTTAGAGTTGTCAAGGTTGGAAACCCTGATTTGGTGGTTGTTTAAGAAATAAGAGAAACTGGGCATAGAGTGTAAAGGGGCATTTTGTGGGGCATCAAAAAAAAAAGTCAAGATGGGGTCATGCTCATGTGAGTGAAACCCTAATCTTTGTGGAGGAGGAGAAGTAGATCAGATCACTTGCAGAAGGAAGCTTCTGTTCTGTTCCTTCTCCAAGGACACATGTGATTGGACAAGTCAATGCAATCCTGATAGACATTTTGATAAGAAACTTGGGAGCATCTCGTTACTGGGTAGGCAGGGGGTTCAAATTGTCAAGGAAAGGGAGCAGAGATGGGAGATGAAGACACCTTTGCCCCATGCTACTTACTGCTGAAATTTACTACTTCATGGCTTGAAGTAGCTAATAGTCTAAGATACCGCTAACCTCCTCCTTCTCCTTTTCTCCCTTTTTTTGGCTTTATCTTCTGCTCCATCCACTCCTTTCTTCTGCCTTCAATTCTTCACCTTTCCACATTTCTGATTACATGTACCATTGATATCAATTAATAATACGGAATTGTACATGTGGACTTGGTGGGTGGACTTCCTTTTCTCTACTTCCCCCACCCTTCCTTTTTCCTGATTGTTCTTCTTGCAACTTTGGAAATATTCTTCCTTCCTCCCTCCCTCGCTCCCTCCCTCCCTTCTTTTTTTGCTACCCTTGGACTTCATCAGGTTGTCTAGAGATTCTCCTCATCCGGATGACGCGGGCCTTCAACCCATTGAACAACACCGTACTTTTTGCAGGAAAATATGGCGGGATGCCGATGTTTAAGTCACTTGGTAAGAGAGCAGAGGGGGTGCCCTTCTGAAGATGTAAATGAGACATTCTGAGCTGATTGGTGGCCATCTTGGTACGATCACGTATTGCAATCCTAACCTCTTTCTGGCTAAAATGAGAGGAATTAGGTTTACCATCAAGAAGGGTGGAAATTTGAGGGGAAAATAGAGAAATTCATGGAACAGCTGATATATTCATTATGTTTATACAAATCTGCTGGGTAATTACACTATATATAATACATTGGCTGTGCTCACATACCACAGGTTGTCCACGTGAGGCATGAAAACAATCAATACAGCAGCTGTGCAATTGAAATCCATCTGTTTTTTATGTGTTTTGGTGTGATGCACATAAAAGGGAGAACAGCCTTGATTGTACAGTTGTGGCTATCATATTGATGTTTCTGACTGCCTCTCCCTGCAGACACCCAAATTAAAGACCCAGCCATTGCATTTGCAGAACGTGTTAAGCTTGGCTAGGTTAACCAGTTATTTCTTGCATGGTTTAGCACTTTGTGCAAACCTTCACTTTTTGATGTTTATGGTTTTATTCAATAATCAGGATATCAGTATGCATTCTATGAATGAACACCTTTCTTAACTTTCTGATTGCTTCTATGTGTGCTCTTTCTCACAGTATGTGCGTGCGTGCATGTTTGAGTACATAAAATAATGTATTCAATAGAATTGGAAGAATAGAATTGGAAAGGATGTAGAATTGAAGCAACTATTTATTTCAAGCAATTGGAAGAAATGTTGCAATATTTGGGTTTTTTTTTAATTAAAAGAACAGGTGGATAAATTATGCATCGAGGCAAGTGCAGAGGGAAATAAAATTATGGATTGAGGAAATAAATGGGAGAGTTTTTGTCCTCTTCTCAAGACAATAAAACCCACTGGACTCATTTAATGAAGGTGAGGCAGGACAGGAAAAGACCCCCCTCTTTTGCATTGTGTATAACAGAACAAATAGAGTAGAATAGAATAACAGAGTTGGAAGGGGCTTTGGAGGTCTTCTAGTCCAACCCCCTGCTCAGACAGGAAACCCTATACCCATGATGGTGAACTATGGCACGTGTGCCACAGGGGGCACACAGAGCCATTTGTGCGGGCACGCGAGCCCTAGGCAAACTTACCTCATTGCGCATGCGCGCACCTTCCAGTTGATTTTCGGGCCTTTTTAGGCCTCCTGGAAATATTGGAAGTGACAAAACGGGCCCATTTTTCGGCCTCCAAAGGCTGCAGAGGCTTCCCTCGAGCCTTTGTCAGGCCGAAAAAGGCCCAACATTCAGCTGGGAGGCACGCACATGTGCAGTGCAGGTAAGGGGGTGGGGGGAGGATCACATGCGCATGTACAGAGGGCATGTGGGGCCCCGTGCGCATTGCCTTCTGGGTGCTGGCACGAGGGCATGCGCGTGTGAGCACATGCACAATTTTTGGCACAGGAGCCCAAAAAGGTTAGCCACCACTACCCTATACTATTTCAGACAAATGGTTGTCCAATCTCTTCTTAGAAACTTCCAATGTTGGAGCATTTACAATTTCTGGAAGCAAATTATTCTACTGGTTAATTGTTCTTACTGATAGGAAATTTCTCATTAGTTCTAGGATGGTTCTCTCCTTAATTAGTTTCCATCTGTTGCTTCTTGCCCTGCCTTCAGGTGCTTTGGAGAATAGCTTGACTCCCTCTTCTTTGTGGCAGCTCCTCAGATATTGGAACATCATGCCTTTAGAAGTTTTGGAATTTTTTAATTGAATGTGTATTTATAGTCCCCCAGCTGTTTTGAAACATGTATTGGTAGTTGCATGGAGAATCAGCCTGTCAGTTGGTTATAATTATAACTCCATTGTGAGAAAAACCAGTGATTAAAATAAATTTGAAAAATTTGAAAAATATACTAGCTCACTTCTTTAACACAGTATTAAATGGAGTATATGGAAAGATACTTCTCCAGACTTTAAAATAATTGCAGTGCTGCAGAACTATTAGGTGATAGTGCATGCATTGATTTGAAAATATGAAATTATCCAACTTCATGTTCAAATCCCAACTAAACGGCTCCTTATTCCCTTAGGTTGTGATGACTTGATCAACTCCATCTTTGAGCTGGGGAAGAATCTTTGCCGACTGCAGCTGTCTGATGAAGAGGTAGCACTCTTCACTGCACTTGTCCTGTTCACACCAGGTATGTGATCAAAAGGGGAAGAAACACTGGATTAACACTTGTCACTGTCCAAAATGAATGGATAGTTGGTTTATCTAGCAGCATCAACATTTTATTCCTCTTAGCCAGTGATGACAGCTGTTTCCCAGAGTTTACAGAGTTACTGCAGACACCTGGCTGAGTCAGGATTGTCCATTCTCCAGGTAGATAGCTTGGACTTTACATGTCTGGGACTAATTCTCATTAGTTCCCATCCCATGGCCAGTAGTAAAGAATTGTGGGAGTTGAAGTCTAAAGCAGTGATCCCCAACCTTTTTTATGCCGCGGCCCGGTACCGGCATCAGCTGGGCGCTGCGGCCCGGTACCGGCATCAGCTGGGCGCCGCCATCTTTTTTTGATGAAAAAGTGCTTCCAGTGAGCTTTCTACCCGGAAAAGCTCACCGGAAGCACTTTTTCATCAAAAAAAGATGGCGGCGCCCAGCAAACCAGCGGCCCGGTAGGACTTGTTCCACGGACCGGTACCGGTCCGCGGACCGGTGGTTGGGGACCCCTGGTCTAAAGTATTTGGAAAGCACTAGTTTATTCTGGGAGATTATTGTGACTGGCAATATAGATCTTCAACATCTCCAACGGAGAGACAACTGGAACCTGCAAATGCTAGAAGGAGTACCTGGAATTTCCTATATGCCCATCAGGTTTCCTGTCACCTAACTATGTCTCTTCTGGGAAGAAATAGAACATGATTATAGAGCAGATATGGGAAGTACTGTAGTCTGTAGAACAGAGATGGGTAATATTGTTGTCTGTAGATACAGATAGTACCATAGACCAGACCTGGGCATTTTACAACACGTGGTACACATCTGGCCCACGGGCAGTTCCAGTCTTGCCCAAGGTATTGGTGGCAAAGTGTGAGGCATTTGGAGCAGGGGGACAAGAGGAGGATAGGGTGATGGCAGTGTTTGGGGGTAGGACGATGGTGGCCCTCCAAAATAGACCCAGTTTCTCATGTGGCTTCTTGGGAAAATTAATTGCCCACCCCTGCTACAGATTATAGAACAGAGATGGGTAAAAGACAATGTTAGACTGTCACTCTGATCTTCCCTACCATGGCCCTGGTGGTGCAGCAGTTAAAATGCAATATTGCAGGCAAACTCTGCCCACAGTCTGGAGTTTGATCCTTTTCCACCAGATCCTTCAAGATTTCTTAGAATCAACAGTTGTAATTCTAGTTCAAGTGAATGGCATCAGGTTGGGTAACATTTCTTGAGGGGGTTAATGTGTTATTGACATCCTCTGCAACATGTGCTCACAATTGCACACTTATTCTCTCTCACACACATATTCACAGAGTCTGGGCTTAAACATTGGTTTTAATTATGTTTTTTTTCCTCAGTAAGCCACAATAGTTGAGTTTCCATGTTCCCATAAGCCATAAACTATGTTTTTATCAGCCACACTGAATTATAGCTAGGCCTAAAATAAACAAATCATATTATGCCTTAGTGCCATTTGTGTACTTTGTGAATCTCACTTCATACACATTCACGCTTTCTGTAGAATATTTGTTATAGTTGAAAATAACAGAAAGCAGATTATTTTTCCTGCAATTTTGCAATTGTAAAAAAATTCCAACACGTGTTGTCCTTTTTCAGATCGGCCTTGGCTCTCTGAGTCCAAAAAGGTACAAAAACTCCAGGATAAACTCTACATGGCTCTCCAGCATGAGATTCAAAAGAAAAATGCCAATGAAGACAGACTTTCCAAGGTAAATGTAACATTTTAAAGAGTTAAATGGGAAGGAGGCAGATTAATACACAAGAGAAACTTATTGATACACACTAGGGCTAATTCCAAGGTTTCCAAACATTCAGTAGCTATTGATGAGAAAATAAATTAAACGGAGGGAGCTCAGAACAACCTTGTTTGGCTTGAACAGGCCAAATGTTGGCCAACTTTGGAGTCCAGGGAAATGAGGGATAGATATAATGAATGGGGAACCCTTGGAGGCAGACAGGGGTGTTTGCAGGAAGGGTCAAAAAAGTCAAGATGATGGCCACAACCATGCTGTCAGAACTTTGTCTCTTTTTACGTGTGTTGACACATTACATGGCTTGATGGCATGGTTTTTTCACCTCCCTGTAGGCCCCTTAGGAGACAGATGTCATGGAATGACGTACAAAGAGAAGGCCATCTCTTTAAATTAATCCTTTAAAGGCTGGGGTGTTTCCTTAGTTCTTTTTCAGCATGCAATAGAGCCGTGATGGCAGACCTATGGGACACGTGCCACAAGTGGCAGGCAGAGCCATTTGTGCTGGCATACGAGCCGCAGGTAAACTTACCTCACCAGGCATACAGCTGATTTTTTCCCCCGGTTGGTTTGAGGCCTTTTTCGGCCTCCCAGAGACTTGGAAAAAGCCTCTGCAAGGCTTTTCAGGACAAATTATAGGTCCATTTCGTCACTTCCTGTAATACCGGAAGTGAAGAAACGGGCCTATAATTCAGCTTGAAAAACCTTGCAGAGGCTTTTTCCAAGCCTCTGGGAGGCCGAAAAAGGCTTCAAACCAGCTGAAAAATCAGCTGTGAGGCGCAATGCAGGTAAGGGGGTGAGGGGAGGGGGGGATTGTGCGTGCATGAGCAGGGGGCGTGGGGAGGGGGGCGTGCATTGAATTCTGGGTATTGGCACGCAAGGGTGTGTGCGCTGGTGCGCATGCAATTTTTGGCACAGAAGCCCAAGAGGGTTAGCTACCACTGCAATAGAGAGTGCTTTACAGCTAATCCTTGAGGTGGCCCTCGAGACACAAGCGTAATGGAGCCTGCCCATTATGGTCACAAGTGGTGATGCCGTTAAGTGAGGCGGCCTCAATTAATGACCTCCACCTCCTCCTCTCCCTAATGCAGCTGTTAGAAGAATTTGTGGGAGGTTAAGCAGAGCACAGAGTGAGGGAGACCCTTGGAGACTGTGTTAAGGCAGCAAAATGGAGCAATTCAACCTTTGGCTATGCAGCGGCCTCATGGAAGCGGACGCCATTTTGGTCCACCTGCGAGAAATTGCGGCTGCACTAAAAATGATGGCCACTTCCAGGACACAGCCATATGTCCTAGGGAGACATGGCCTGACCTCCTTTCCCAGTATGAGGTCTGGAGTTCTTCAAAAGATAAGTGTGCAATGGCTGACAGGCTTGTGGGGAGTAGGCCCAAGGCCTGTGCAGTCCCAGAGACACAAGATGGGGTGGAGAGAGGGAGAGGAGCATTGCAGCATCTCTGCACTCGATCATAAGGGCGAATGACTGCAAGAGCGCTGCAGGGCCATAACTTTGAAATGGGGTTGTAAATAGCTTGGTGGGGAGGATCTATTATAATACTCATTAAGTGATCCGTCCTATCTCAAGGACTACTGCACAAATAGTCCTCGATTTACAATCACTGCTGGGATCAGAATTTCTATTGCTAAACAAAGTGGTTGGCAAGTAAAGCGTGCCCAATTTACAACCTTTTTTGCCACAGTTATTAAGCAAGTCACTGCATTTATTAAGTTAAATCACATGGTTGTTAAAGAAATCCAGCTTCCTCTATTGACTTAATTTGTCAGAACCTGATGGGAAGGTTACAAATGGCCCAAGACACAGCAATTGTCCTAAATCCATACTGGTTGCCCAGTGCCCAAATTGTTGGCCATGTGATCGTGGGGATGTTACAATGGTTATAATTGCAAGGATTGGTTATTAGTCATGTTTGCAGTGTCATTGTAACTTCAGTCATTAAAATGGTTGTAAATTGAAGACTACCTGTATTTTTTTATTTACTTTATTTAGTACTAGCTCGATACTCATGCTTTGCTGTGAAACTATGTGGTTGGGTTTAGCTTTTGAGGAGGAAAATAAGGAAAAAATAATTCTGCCTCTGCCTACCAGCATCTATCGGTATTCATCTCACTAGCATCCTGTCAGTGTGTGAGAGAGTTGAGGGCTGTTTGAAAACTGAAACAGTATTTGCTGTGTGAAAAAGGAGACAGCAAGGAGCCTGGGTGTGGCTTAGCTCAACTGTTCTGTATTAAAGCTGGTTGCTGCTGTGAAACTGAGGCTGAAACTCCTCTCTTCTGCTTGTGTTTTGCATTTGGAACAGATTTCTTTTTGGGTGGGAAGGGGGAGTAGAACTCCTTAGCATGAGAGCGTGTTATTAATAATACATGAAATACTAATGCTCTGATGGTCATTTCAAAAAATCCTTTCTTAATGAGCACCTAGAAGCCAAGAGGAACATACATGCCAAATTTCAAGTTTGTAGGCTTTACGGCTCTGGAGATTTTGTGATGATGCGTGAGTGGGTATTTCGCTTTTATATATATTTTAGATATGCGGCCATATACATTCGGTTTCCTTCCTCTATTTCTTCATTGGTAGATCTCACTTTGAGCCCTACTATCTAACCACAAGTTGTTCCCAACTGTATTCTGAATTTCAATGAGAACTTGATGGAGTTTCATGAGATTTTGGGAAGGGAACATTCAAAAACAGCCAAATTTCTATCATGCAGCTTTGCTTCTCAATCAGGAGTTCCAGATTTTGTTTTTTTTTTTCAATTAACAGCCTCCAAGGTCCCTGCTCTAACCCATTTCCTTTTTCTTCCCACAGATGGTTGCCAAGCTCCCCTTGATGAAGACAATCTGCAGCCTCCACTTAGATAAGCTGGAGCTTTTTCGCCTTGTCCATCCGGAGACGGCCAAAAATTTCCCTCCTCTCTACAAAGAAGTGTTCAATTCGGAGCTCCATTACAGCAACTCTCAGGAGAGCTAAAGCAGAATTTGCAAAGCAAAACTTTTTGTGGCTTCTGGAATGGAGAAAGCAGAATTGACCCCTGTGGCTTATTTTAAATCAAGGATCAACCACAAGATTGTGTGTCTCTGGCTTTCCTCCTCCTCCTCCTCAACCTCTTGCAGTTGATCTGCGGTGATCTGCAGTCACTGTTGAATGTAATTGCACCTTTTTAAGGATCCAGCGGACTTTGGGCATACTGGTGAAATGAATGTGAAATGCTATTCGGTAGAGAAGATCCTGCATTAAGTAGTGTTAAGTATTCCTATCCTTTCCTCAAAAGCATGTTTTTGCAGAACACATTTCTCTGCCCTAGCATGTGAATACATCCACCCAAAACTCATGAGACTTACAGCCAACTGATGCCCAACCCAAAAATGCCTCTTTAGGCCTACCCGTGTGGATAAATATGTATATTTTTGCTGGTTTCTGCTTTTTTCCTGGCATGGTTCGAATGATAGGGACGCTGGACGTAAAGAAGGAAAACCAGTTCTTGTGGACTTGTTCAACGTGAGGATGGAAATATGTGGGAAGAGAAACACAAACACACGCATACACAGGGATTACAATCCTGCCAAATTATGGGACAGAGGTGGTGGGGAGAAGGAAATGTGGGGGGAGGAGAACTTTTAATTTAATTGTATTTTCAGCTCTCGGGGGCAGCTGGAGGGCTGGACCCTCTAAGAGAGAGAGAGAGAAAAAAAAGAAGCGTACAGTTCTATTGCAAACCAAGTTGTCTTTCTCATCAACAAACACTGCTGCTATCAAAGTAACTGGAAAAGCATCAGTTTAAAGAAAAACACCAATGGCCTCTGGATGACATTGGACTTTGGCACCCATTATCCTCAGTGATTGGCCTGGCTGGCAAGGATGGATATTGAAGCTAAACCATACCTGGCTGCCAAGCTAGATGATGAATGATGCAATTGCTTCTAAAGCAAGTTTTTTTAAAACACACAAGTTTTAAGATGTGCGGACTTCAATTCCCAGAATTCCCCAGCCAGCATGCTAACTGGAAGTTGAAGTCCACATATCTTAAAACTTCCCAAGTTTGAAAAATACGATTCTACAGCAACCAGTCTCTTATCTTCTAAGGCTATCGATACATTATGTTTGTTTTTTTCTCCATGTTATAACCCTTTGGGAACCCAAGAAAGCTTCATTCAAGTGCAGAAGCCTATTAGAAGAAGACCTTGCTTGGTATCGGTTCACCACATGGATGATGAACAGGTCTGCAGCTAAATGCAGAGGGCCTTCTTTTGGTCCTGCCTAATACTGTAGAATCAGCCAGATGACAAAAAGACCCACACAATTGCTCACATTTGTAAGGTGGTTTATTTTTCTCCTGTTCATACTCAATGACACCTCCAACACCGGTTTAAAAGGCATGGCTGCTTTCTTCAAACTAATGGCAAACCTGCAACCTTTCAGATGCTGCTACATGCCAAAACAAATAGTCCTAAACTTATGACAGATTTACGACCACAATTGGGACCAGGAATTTTGTTGCTAAGCAAAGCGGTGGTTAACCAAATCGTGCCCAAGTTTATAACCATTTTTGGTCACGGTTGTTAAACATCTCACTGCAGTTGTTAAGTGAATCCAGCTTTATTGACTTTGTTGGAAGGCAGTTGGGAAGGTTGCAAATGGCGATCACATTGTCCTGGGCCAGTGCAACTGTCATAACTACATGCTGGTTGCCAAACACCCAAATTTTATTCATGTAACCCTGGGGAACGCTGTGATGGTCATAAGTGTGAGGACTGGTTATAAGTCTCTTTTTCAGTGCTGTAACATGGAATGATCACTAAATGAATGGTTGTAAGTCAAGGATCAAGGATCACTGGAGGCTTTCAAGAAGAGATTGGACTGCCATTTGTCAGAAATGGTGTAGGGTCTCCTGCTTGGGCAGCAGGGTGGACTAGATGACCCACAAGGTCCCTTCCAACTCTGTTAATCTGACTACCTGTACCCTGTTGGTCCTGTTTGGTGGTGTTTCTGGCAGTGGTAGTTTTACAGTTTATGGAGGACCATCAATTCTTAACTCCTTAAAGCTCCGCACTCCCCCGTCCGGTGACTGGACCGGGTGAGCTTTTCCGGGTAGAAAGCTCCCCGGAAGCACTTGTTCATCGAAACAAGATGGCGGCGTCAGCGCTTCCGGTGAGCTTTTCCGGGTAGAAAGCCATTTCTACCTGGAAAAGCTCACCGGAAGCGCTGGCGCCGCCATCTTTTTTGATGAAAAAGTGCTTCCGGTGAGGTCACCGGAAGCACTTTTTCATCAAAAAAAGATGGCGGCGCCCAGCTGATGCCGGTACCGGGCCGCGGCATAAAAAAGGTTGGGGATCACTGCCTTAAAGTAAGCAATACCATCACTGTGGGATCAAGGAGAGAGTGGTATATATCTTTCCCTCGACTTTCAGCTCTCTGAATTAGCATGTGGGGTGGATCCTCAGCTACCTTAGCAAGGCAAGGCATACAGATAGTCCTTGACTTACAGCCACAATGGCCCAACATTTCCATTGCTAAGTGAGACAGTTGTTAAGTGAGCTTTGCCCCACTTTGCAACCTTTATTGTCACAGTTATTAAGTGAATCACTGCAGTTGTTAAGTTAGTAACACGGTTGTTTAGTGAATCTGGCTTCCCCATTGACTGCCTTTGCTTGTCAGAAGGTCACAAAAGTTTATCACCCCAGGGACACTGAAACCACCATAAATATGAGTCATTAGCCAAGCGTCTGAATTTTGATCACAGGACCATGGGGGTGCTCCAGCGGTGATAAATGTGAGAAATGGTCATAAGTCACTTTTTAAGTGCCGTTGTAATTTTGAATGGCCACTAAATGAATGGTGGTAAATTGAGGATTATCTGCAATGGCATTGCTGCATTGCTTAGATACTGTAAAAGAAGAAATTAGATGTTCAGAATTCCAAAAAATACTCCATTTCTACCAGCCCTGTGAATTATTCATCGGGTTTAGGATCTTGCCTTTTGCTTCTTTAGTTTTTACCCAAGGTTGAGATCAATTCTACATTCCCTTGACTCTAAATTCCTTTTAACTTCTCAATCTGTTGTATAACGATTTCTCTCGGGAATTCACTATTGCTCTCTGCAACAAAGGACTTTTGCCTTTCAATGAAACAGTTATTTCATTTGCTCTTCTTTTTTAGCTGGTGAGCTAAATGCTGGGAATCTTTGACATTACAGGCTATGAATCACCATTTCTATTTCTGTGGGTTGAGACAGTGGGGTGAATGAGTTGTTGGAGGCATAAAGATGGTGCCTCTGCAGCATTCTGGTGGTGGGTTAGAAGAAATTTAATCTTTTATCTGTGTAGGTCAGTGTTTCTCAGCCTTACCAACTTGAAGATGTGTGCACTTCAACTCCCAGAATTCCCCAGCCAGCCGTACTGCCTAGGAAATTCTGGGAATTGACGTATAGACATATTTTAAGTTGATAAGGTTGAGAAACACAGGTGTAGGTGGAGGACATGAATACCCTTACCTGGAACAGACAAAGCATTGTTTACTTCAATTTAAAGCAACAGGAGGTGCTTCAGATTACAAGCAGGAGAGATTCCCAATCCATTGTGGCTTGACTTCTTGCATTGCAGGTTTGATTTTCCTATTGCTTGCAAAATGCACTTTTGTCATCTATTCTTGGGTCAAATGGCAGCTTAATTTTTTTAAAGGAAAGAACGGTAATAGAACCATGGCCAGAAGTTATATTGAACAATCTCTTGTGAGCTAAATGTATATAAAAAAAATCTTAACATTCTTTTTTTTCCCTTACAAATCACTGCTTATGTTATGCTGGCAATAAACTATATGTTTTTGGCTTCCTCTCAGCCCCAAATGGGATTCTTACTTTAAAAAAAAATATGCACCTTTCTCTTTTCCCCCAGTTACAATTTTTAAAAGTATTCTTTGATTAGTTGGCATGTATCTGGTTGTACAGTGCCAACATATCAACATGTCTCTATCATATGGTGAGATTGGAGCTTTCATGGAGTTAAAATCCAGAGGCATTTTTCATTTTTTTCCCCCTGCTTTGTAATAGCTGGTCTTAGCTCATTGGTCTATGGCTTAAATTTTCCAACCAAAATGCAGTAGGCTCTAAACATTAATCAGAAACAAATGTTGTGTATTTTAGAGCCTATCGACAATAGGAAGAAATTGAGACAAATTTTCCAACTTGTGAAAGATTAATTTAATAATCATTCCTTTACCCAGGAAACTAGAAGACCTGTGATTTGGAGTGCATCTCTTAAAAAAAACAATTTCAAGCCTTTTGTTCGAGTATAGTTGCTGAGCTTGACTACAGAAAACCATAACAACCAAAACTGTTTGAAACAAGCATAAGTTTGTAGAATAGATAATCCCTTTTTTAGTTGTGAACCATCCAAAATCTGGAATTTGATTCTGAGCAATAAAATGGTGACAGTGTAGGAGAGAATTACTGTGCGTGAAACTCAGCACCTCCGTACATACCTGTATATTTCTGGAACGTGATTCCTGAAGGAAATCTTCTGAATTCTCAAATTCTAAAAAGCAAAAAAGATTTATGTTTCTAGCCCATGACTCACTATGAACCTAAAAAATAGGTTATAAAGAAAGAACGTTTAGTGGGCAACAGTTTTTCGGGAGTTTATAAAGACATGAATTTTCAGGCCATACAATGAAGGGCCATTCCTTCCTAAGTGATGCTTTCTATATAGTTCTACATAAACACATGCATATATACCTATATAATTCTTTTTTTAAAAAAATGAAAGCTTAGATGTGCATTTTATCACCTCTAGAACCCTCACACTACTCTGTATGAAGAGGAAAAAAAAGGTTGATTGGTATAAAATATTTATACTTGTGAATATTGGTGCAAACAGAAAAACCCATACATCTGCAGTATGGTTTTTATGCTTTCTGTTTTGAATGAAACATAGGGTACCATAAGTGTGCATTTATTAAACTGTATGTAGATCTTCCCAACCTGGTGCTCTGCAAAAATTTTGACTTCAGGGCCCATAGTCCTCAGCCAGCAGGGCTATTGGAGTGGGGAAGGATGCATCACACACATACACACTCATTAAAGTACAGACAAGAAAATAATTTTAGACTTAGGGTGAAGAACAGCTTCTGTTTGCATTGAATGTTTTGTTGTGTAAAATGGTAATTTCTATTTTTTTAAAGGAAAAGAAGTCCTATACTTTCTATTAGGGGCCAATTTGCTTTGAAACATGAAAGCCTAAATGTTTATTTAAAAGCGGGGAGGGAGAGGGAGCAGCGCAGAAAAACAGGACTTTTTCAGAAAAACTTTAAAAAACAATGTTATGTATTTAAATAAAATGTTTCGATAAGATGTCTAGAAAGATAGATGTATACAGTATTACACAAGAACGTTTGAGTCGAGCAAAATAAAAGTGTTTTATGGAATGGAAAAATGGGATCGAGTATTTTTCCCCAAACTTTTTTGTATTTAAAAACAATAGTTACAAATAACTGCCATTTAGTATGTAGCATGGAACAAAGGTTAATTCATCGCTCTATATCTGAGCTATAAAGTGCCATCAGTAATATGGTATTCAGATAGTGTGCTAAATCAGCTGTTTATTAAATTTTTATGTCGCCTATCTCACTGTTAACAGCAATTCTTGGCAGCGGTTTGCTTCATTTTAGTTTCTTCCATTAACTATGATTCCTTGAGTGTAACTGGATTCACACGTCATGACATTCTCTAAATCAGTGTTTCTCAACCTTGGTGACTTGAAGATATGTGGACTTCAACTGCCAGAATTCCCCAGCCACTTATTTTGGGGACATTCTTGGACAGAAAGAATTTGCCTGTCTGAAGTTATTTCTCCTGTCCCACAATAGGTGTGCAAGTTCAATTCCAGGACCCTACGTGACACCATCATCACAGAGGAAGCTAATTATCTCTGGATGAAATGAAACTAGGAATAGAATTGATTTAGCTGTGAAACATGAGTTATTATCTGCAAATAGTAGAATCTTAGGCTCAGTACTTATTATTCTATCTGTGTCAACATTTCTAGTTAAGTGAGCAAGAATTGTAAAGCTACATTAATAGAATTAGAATAGAATAGAAAATAGGATAGGGTAGGGTAGGATAGAATAGAATAGGAATAGAATATAATAGAATTGAATTCTTTATTGGCCAAGTGTGATTGGATACACAAGGAATTTGTCTCCAGTACTTAAGCTCTCAGTGTACATTCAAACAACAGAGTGATAAGTCATAGATCATCAATCATAAGATAAAATTGATAAATCATAATATACCAATAGAAAGAAAGTAGTAGGAAAGTTGACAGGTGAGGAAGATGAGAAGATGACAAGGATAATAGCAATATAACCTACTGCATGGGTAATTTACAATAAAATAGATAAAACATATATAACAAAAATAACAGCATTCTTTAAAAAACAGCCATTAACACGAACAGGAGACAGGCTCTCTCTGGTCTTCCAGGAGAGGTATGGTGAATTGAAGACCCTTCTGCAGAAGGACTATACATTCTGATTATCTAATCACTTTTGGAAATTGCCTATTGATCATTGTAAAGCTATTGGAGACTCTCCAAATGAAAAATCTGAAAAGTCTTCATTAGGTGAGGTTATCTTGAATTAAAAGAAAAACTAATTACAAGCTTAAGAACTTAAAATGTTTGAAATAAAACATCAAAAGCTAAATAAGGTTTAGATTTTAAAAAGTTATAACTGGATTAGGACAAATTTGAAATATTGACTTTTACTATAAGATTTTGGAATTAACTATAAAAAATGAATAACCTCTTGTGGAAAACAGACTTTTAGCTATTCTGATTACTACAAGCCATAATGAAAAATAGAAACTGAATACTAGAGGGGACTAAAGATTTTAACCACAGAGAGAGAGGAAAATCAGTCGGATGTTATTTAATAAGGACACAAATATAACAGAAATATTAGAAGAATGGACCCATAAATTATTGACTACAATTTCAACTGTCAGTAATTTAATGCCTCCAAAAAGGCATAAGATGATACCATCTTGGGAGTTCTGACATTTCCCCCCCTTTTATTGTGTTGTATTCACATTTTTCCCAATTTCTATTTTATCCATCCCATTTTATTCAATTCTTCCCATTTTTCAGTTTTTAAATCTTCATTTTTGAGGTTTCATGTGACAGTTTGTTCTTAGGGTTGGGGAGGGAGGGAGGTTGGTGGTCATTGACTGTAATTAAATAAAACTTGATGTGTTTGATAGAAAACAACTGTTAGAAATTATAAAGTGCTAGCCTGCAGCATATTTCTTGGCTTTTTATTTCTTTATTATTGTCAGTCGACCTTGAAAGGCAGAACAGCTATCTTCAGCTGGCGATTCTGAGGCCGCTTGCTGCGTTCCCAAATCATTGGAGGTCACCAGATTTCACATGCTTCCAATAGGACGGTAAACGGGATGTTTGCAATAATAAGCTTTAACATTTTCTCAAGAGAGGCGAAACATTCAAATGAAACCCGTAATCAACGCTTTTCGTATGCTTCTATCGGATACAAAGTTTACGTGTTCCTTTTCTTTGACGGATCCGTTAGCCTATCGCCCCTCGTCAAATGACTCGAAGGGCGGTTCCCAACCAGTCCGCTCGCGGAGCATGCCGGAACTTGTAGTCTAGCCTCCAACTCAGCGCTACCGGCAGCGTCGTCTGAAGAACTACAACTCCCGGCGGCGCTCCGCTTTTTCGGAGGAAAAAGCTTTCGGGAGAAGCCAAAGGCAACGGCGGCAGATGTTCAAGACAGCGGAGGACGTGGTGGTGCCTATCTCGGAGAGCTTTTGAGGGGGCGGCGCTGTTTTCCTACCTCCCACCCCCCAGCCGTTGGTTGCGGGAGACCGGAGACTAGCCGGCGCCGTTAGAAGAGAGGGGGCTTTGCACAAGCGGTCCCTGTTACCAGGGAGCCATTGCACGCTCGGATCGCCCTGTAGGTGCAAGGAAGGTGGGCGAGTGGGCGTAGCTGGCAGGTTGGTGGAAGGTTTATATGGCTTCGAGACGTGCGTGTGATTTGAATAGCAGGAATGCGTGCAACCCACGCGTATGCAATGTGCTTCGCTCTGTGGAAGACAAGCGGCGGGGAAAATGGGAAAGGCGTGGGAAGCGGTTGTGCAAACTGGGGAAGGTGGCCCGTATTTGAGCTTCGAGCCGAGGCTTGTGCAAAACTCGTGCTCCCTCCCCCCCATCGTGGGGCCAGGGTGCTTAATTGGGGAGGGGGTAGTGAATTGGGCTTGGCAAAAAAAAAAACAAAAAAACAGGGTGCCCCGAGGGAGCACTTTCCTGGCTGGGCTTCTGAGGTGGAGCCGAACTGTTCTGAGCAAAGAAAAGCCTCTTTCCTGGCTTGCTTCAGGGATCCTGGGAGGAGATCCCAGGCTCTCCGGTTGGAGCGGTTTTGCAGAAATGTGGCGGACTTAAAAGGCAAACAAGAGGGCTGAGAATTGACTTTGCCCTCAGGAAGCAGGTTCCTAAGCGTGACCTGCAGGAATTGTACGTCCTGCAAAAGGTATGGTGTGGGCCAAGCTTCTCCAGCCTAGCAGCCTCCCAATATATTATGTAATCAACTTCCCATTATCCCCAGCCAGCATGGGGATGACCTAGTGCCGCGGATCTGAAAGTTACTAAGCTTGAAAGGTTTTGTTATCTGAACTGTGAGGTGAAGTTTGGTCCTTGAAGTGGTCATTCTACCATAAAATTTATTCGGGGAGGATACTGTGGCCTGCAGGGTTCCCTTTTATTAAAAAAATAGTTATTCCATTCCATTTCTATAGCTGCCCATCTCAACCAGTGAAAATTACGCATAGGTCTGTGTCCCCCCCCCCAAAAAAAAATTAAACGTGATAATAGAAACCAGTTTCAGCCTTGCCACCATCCATGGTGGGAACCTTTCCCCTTCTCTCTCTTCCCCCCTCCCCCCCATATTTTGAGAAAAAAATAAGCTCAGCCTCCTACAGGACTTCCCCTCCAAACCACTTATCATAAAATCCTTTTTACTCAATGTAGGTGATAACATTTTGGATCAATTTAAATATCCCTGTTGTGATAGGGGTATTGGGTTTGTGTGTTGTTACTCCCCATTCAATTTTGGGTTATTTACCTAGCTTTGGGAAGCAAAACAATTCTGGTAGAATTGTGGTCTTTGGCTTGTAAAATGACCCTTTGGCATATGGAAGAAAATATTAGAATGTCTATATTTTTATCTCATGCTCTGTTAATGTATGGAGTATATATATATGCAAGTATGTTTTATAATGTACATATTAGTACATGTATATAATTTATAAATAAAAGCTAAGATACATATGTGCAGAGTGCAGGCCCAAGGTTTTTTTTTTAAAGATTAAAGTCCATAAACAAAAATTTTAGAGACTCCTATTGTGGAAGGATATATATTTTCTTCAGTTATATGATGTATGTACTTCTAGCAGGATAGAAGGACTAGTTATTGAAACATTATTTCTGCCAGCTCATCTGGAAAAAATTAAACCAATGGAATGTCATGGGGAATGGCTTTCTGAGAACTAAAAGCCAAGAGATAATTTGTATTTTTAAAAAAACCTCTAGTGAGACTTGCTCCATTCATTTAAAGTGAGGAAGCACCCAATGATGGTCAAGCTTGCAAGATTTATTTGCTCTTAGTGAGATCTATCCGGCATTAGTGGATGCTTTATAATTCAGTATCAAAACCAAGCCTACCAGTGTAATAATCCCAAATACACTCCTGATGAATCCACTTACATTCTCTACAGAGTGAAGTTTTTACCTGGTTCCTAAATCATACAAATCCATGTTATAAATTACTTGGCCTTGGCTTTTCATATTATGAGAACTGAGCTATTACGGCTTTGAATGGTAGTTTATAGCTCAGTATTTCTCAACTTTGGCAATATGTGGACTTAAATTCTCAGAATTCCATAGCCAGACATGCTAAAGTTCCCAAGGCTAAGAAACACTGACCACGTATCAATGGTCAAGGCAATTATAGTTTTTTCAGCAAGCCATGATTTAATTATGGTTTAACTATGACTATTTAGGTAATTGGGAGTCAGGAAGTACTTTTGTTTAATTTGCTCTAATATTTCATACTGTACTTTCATGGCTGAGAGGGTATTTTTGTGCATATCTGTACATTTTTGTGTATCTTTTTATGGGATTATCAAGAGATTTAGCCTGCTAGAAATTTATCATTGTTAAAAAAAATGTTTGTTGAAAATAAATCCAGGAGCTTTCATTAAAAGAAGAGACTAAAGATATATTTTATTTTTAATTAATTATCTTTGCTGCCTAAGAAAATCAGCTCAGTAGCTATAGAAGTATATCAGCATAAAAATTTATTAAAGCAACAATAAGACAGCAACATTTGAGTAGAAAAAATGTTTTACTAAATTAAAATGGCAACAAATCAGAACTTTTCAGCTGTGGTTGAGTGCCAAGGAAGACATGGATTGCTAATGCACATATTTTTTGTGCAGCTTTGCTTGAAGGAAGTGAAATCAGGAAATGGCAAATCTAAAATGATAACAGCCTGTCAATGTAATAATAGAGCACTGTGAATTGAATATGAAACTTACAGTATGCCATTTGGTGAGGGATGCAACCTAATGATGTAAATTGCCTGGTGTCTAAATGTTAATATAGAGTGATATATCAAATTAGGCACCAATGTCACTACAAAGAAGACAACTTTTTTTAAACTTTCACCTGCTATGTGGGGGGAAAATTGTAATATGCTGAACCTTCTTGCCTACTCACTAATGTAAAAAGTAAATTTAAAATTAAAGGTAAATGCAGTGATAAATTGTTTAGAAATAGTTAATATGCATACACCTGGCATCTCTTTTAAAGCTGGCTGGACCTGAATATTATGTGGTTAAAATTTATTGAGTGCTAAGACATTCTAGAAAGTCGTAGTAAGAAATTGGAGGAAGATCACAATAGTACAACAGTGAAAGACTTTTTAAAAATTTGTTTATTCAGTGACATTTGTAGGGAGTTACTCTGCCAAACCTTATCCTTCCAGGAAATTTCCAGGCTTGGCTTGCTGATAACTTAAATTTCATAGAGTGGAAGAAGGCACAAGTGCATTAGCCATTCTTGTCCTGCTGCAAACCAGCAGGGAACATTTAGTCAAGGAATAGAAGCAGCAAGCAAACAACAATAACAAATGTGTGTGTGAGGGGTGAATGATCATGTCATGCTTACGTTCTTGATTTTAAGGAAAAGTGGATATGGTTACGGTACTGGTCTTAGAAACCAGGAGAGTGAGTTCTAATCCTACCTTAGGTAGAAAAGCTGATGGGATGATTTTGTACCAGTCACTCTCTCTCCACCCAACCCACCTCACATAATTGCTGTGAGGAAAAGGGGAAAAAGAGGAAAGAGCATTATGTTTAAACTCCATGAGTTATTTATAAATTAATAAAGGTGGGATTAAAATCAAATAAATGAATTCCAAGAGCTATGATAAGTAGTGTCAAAGAAAAAGCTGATGGGAATAACTCGATATTTTTTGAGAGGGTGGGGGCACAGCCTTTTAAAAGAGGAGATAGGAAAGTTGAATTGCAAATAAGTCAAAAAGCAGAAGAAGCCAGCAATTTATGCACAGTAACTGGAGGGAAGACCTAAAAATTGAAAAACCTGATAGGAGATAGAATTTCGTAACCGAGGAAAAGTTCACCAGAATTGTAGGTTTATTATCAGAATCACTATAATGTTCAAGGTGAGCTAAAATTAATTAAGTAAATTAGGAACAACAAAAGAGCCTGTTTGGATAGATTCAGAATAAAAGAGAAGTGTATCAGCTACTCAGAGAAAATGATAAAATGTTAAGTGATAGCAAATTAAAGGTGGAACTAATCAATATCCATTTCCACCTAATTTCATTTAAGAAAATGTACATTCTACTAAGCATTTCTGAAGAACAGTCTAAACAGGATTCCTTTTGATAGAAATATGGTCTAGGAATATCTATTTTCTTTGAATGAATTAAAATTTACAGAAGTAATAGGATGTAAGTGCACTGAAGAAGGTTACTGAAGATCTAGCCAAAGTTTTTTGTATTATCTTTCAGAAATTATGGAATAGTGGAGGGAAGTATTTGTCCCTTCCTTCAGGAAGATGCAGGCAGAATCAGAGAATTATGTATCTATCAGTCTGGTATCAATAGCAAATAATATTAGTTTGTGTTTTTATAATATTATTAAACATTACAGTTAAAATGCAAGAACTAATGCAAACTGAAAAAAAGAATTAAAATAAATGCAAAAGAGGAAAAATAGACAAGAAAAATAAGAATATAGAAAAGAAAAAAGGAAATACATAAATTATTTCCCTCTTCATCACAAGTATAAACAATTTAATGTGACCAATTTTTATTAAAATACAACAAATTATCTTTTCTTCCCATATCTCATTTCTTAGTTATATTAAAAAAATTAAAACTTTGTTATCCAGTCCTGTTCAGCAAACGCCCATTAAGTGTTAGCAGAGATAACATATCTGCTTTAACCTTGATAAAGCAACTTTGTATTCCTTCCTTTTACTTTTAACAGTCTTGATCTTTATTCCCTTCAAATATTGTCATAGAACTTGGTTTCTTTTCATTTTTATTTCTTTTCTCCTCCTCAGAAAATGTTTCAAAACCTTAAGAGGTCTCTTTTCTGAATCCAGTATAGGAAAGTTATCCAGGACACTCTCTTGGTTTGTTATTTGTATATTCTTTTTAATTATTAAATTATCAGTTGGTTTCTTTTGTATGACAACTATAGCATCTTTTTCCACACCATTCTTATAAGCCTGCCTTTTTAAGGTCCATTCTCTTGTCCAGTAAAATTTGTTTCTTTTCCATACCTTCTTTTAGAGGTAGTCTATCCATAATGGGAGACACTTTTAAAATTGACATTTGGGTCCATTGTTCACAAATATCCTTCAGTTTATGCATTACAGGTGGCTCTTGACTTACGACCACAGTTGAGCCCAAAATTTATGTTGTTAAGTGAGATAGTTAAGTGAGTTTTGCCCCATTTTACAACCATTCTTTGCACCGTTGCGATAGAGAATATGAATGAAGGGTCTTCGGAAAGTACAAATGCCAGAGTAAACAGCTAACTTAACCGCAGAAGTAAATAGAATAACAGGAAAGTACCTGCAACTCCCAAGAACCCATAGCCTAAACACCAGAAGGGGCTTCAGAACGAGGAAAGGGGAAACATTTGAGCTGCAAAATAGCTGTCGGAGGAAATCGCTAGCTTAGCCATAGGAGAGGTACATATAAATTGTGGCAAGCACAATGTCCCAGGTTCCGGCCCAAGCAAATCAGAACTCTGAGGCCAGACACTTCCTCAAAGGACTCCTTTATTGGGTAAATCATCTCGGCACACTTGGTTCAGTGGTCACACACCTGATATACTGAAAAGTAGGTGGTTTGTCTAAGAAGTGGGTCACAGTAGTAAGCAAAGCGCATGCTTAAAATATTAATTGACATGCCTTTCATATATAATTTGCTAATTATACTGCACATGTGGTATGTGATGTAGATTTAGGGAGGATCTCAGGAAACGGAGGCGGTCAGAAAAGAGTGTTAACCTCACAGTACCTCAACTAATGAGGAACGAGGATGTATAAAGAAGGGAATGGTTTGAGTTGAAACTGGAGAGAACCAAGCTTTGATAGTTTGTTCCCGCTTATTGCAATAAACGAAACAAAAAGGCTTTCATTGTGTCTTGGATGGTTATTGGTCAGGCAGATTTGTCACTGGTTGCAAAGGAAAATAGCTGGCAGTACATAACAGGCTTTAAGTTTAATTGAATCTCTGCAGATCAGAGGTTCTGACCAGTTCTGGAGAACCAGTAGCGGAAATTTTGAGTAGTTTGGAGAACCGGCAAATACTACCCCTGACTGGCCCCGCCCCCATCTATTCTTTGCCTCCCGAGTCCCAGCTGATCGGCTGGGTCTTCTTTTGTTGCCCTGCACAAGAGAATGGAGCTGGAAAGCAGGTTAGTGGGGTGGGGAGGGAATGGGATTTTGCAGTATCCTTTCCCCAGGAGTGAGGAAGGGGTGGATATTTTACAGTATCCTTCCCAAGCCACGCCCACCAAGCCGCGCCCATAGAACCAGTAGTAAAAAAATTTGAATCCAACCACTGCTGCAGATGTTAAGTTAGTGATACAGTTGTTAAGTGAATGTGTCTGACTTTGCTTGTCAGAAGGTCACAGAAGATGATTACATAACCTCCAGACACTGCAACTGTCATAAATATGAGTCCATTGCCAAGCATCTAAATTTTGATCACATGAATATGTGGATGCTGCAGTGGTCGTAAGAGTGAAAGATGGTCATAAGTCATTTTTTCAGTGCCATTGTAACCTCTAATGGACATTAAATGAATTGTTGTAAGTCAAGGACTAGCTGTATTTTTTTAAAGGATTCAAAACAGCATTTTCCCACAGGAAGAATTCTTCTAATTATTTTCAAAAATCTTATTTCAAACCCATCTGGACCTTTATTCCATCGTTAATTTTCCAAAATCAATGTTCTAATCGCTCTCTTGCTATTTATTTTTTAAAAAAAGTCCTTAACTTTGCATTTGAAACTTCTCTTAGTTAGGACTGAAGGAAACTCACCTGAAGCTCATCTGTTTTGCAAAGATTCCTAATAGCTAAAAAGCAATTTGGAAGCAATTTCCAAAATTCATTAGGAAATGAAGCTTGGTGAACATTATGTCCTGAAGTGAATTCAGTTCACAAAAACAAACATTTAAGTCTTTAAATGCCACAAAACGTTTGCTGCATATCTGAGGTACTGCAGAAATAAAACTCAGCATATAACCTAAACGTGAGTTCTCATAGACATTAGAATAACTGTTGCATTTCTAATTAAATAAACCTTAGTGAAAAAACAGGATAGACTGGAAAGAGGCAATTGTAATTATTCTAGACTCCACCGTAGTTCAATTTTTTTTCCTTCTTTAACCCGATGTCCTCCAGATATGTTGGAACTGCAGCTGCCAGAATTCCTGACCAATGGTCACAGTGGGCAGAGAATTCTGGGAATTGAAGTCCCAACAAGTGTCAGATTGGTGAGGCTGGACTTCAGTCTCTAAGATTCCATTTCACAGGCAAAGACTTCGAATAATGTAGGTATTTCCTCCTTTTATACCTATTTGGATTTTTTAAAAATGTATACATAAACTGTTTGCTTCATTAGATGCTCTGGAAGACCAACTCCCTTAGGATTTCTGAATATATATATGATTTGGTCTTTCTTAAAGCAGTACTGATTTTCTGAATCTGATTTTCTGAATCTTCCTTCTGCTGTCCCTCCTCCTGACAGATTTGGCTGCTACTAGGAGGAGACACTTGCCTCTTTGTATTCTCTTAATTTTTTTAAAGGCCGCCTTAGAATTGGCACAAGCGGTCTTCTGTCCATCTGCTGAAGGGAGGACTTGTTGCCCGTTCCATAGAACAAGGCCTACGTTACGCAGATTGTGTATCTCTTGGCTAAAGCTAGTGTTAGAGCAAAGTGCTCTAAGTTTTGCAATAATAATCAAATCATAATGGCTGATATATTCTCCAGACACCAGTAATTATGCACTTGTTGCTTTTTCTATGCTAATACAGATGTGTGCAAATGGCCTTTCATGTTAGCATCTCTTTCAGAATAATTTCCAGCTTGAAAATAAATCTTCTGTGATGCTGATTTCTGCAGGGGTTGGGATATCTGGGTTGGCAGTTAAGGTGATAGACTTGGTCCAGCGATGGCCAATTGCTGACTCATTGAGAGGTCTTGACAAATTGAACCCTCCTTTTCTATCAGTGCTGAATCTGTGGGAAATGAAGGCCTTAAATCTCTCCCTGGACGTAACATTTCTTTTCCTCTGTTTTAGATCCAGCTCTTCATGATTTAACACTTTTTGACAAGGCACTTAAAAGAAGGAATGGCAGGTAACAGGAGCAGTTCAAATTTTCTTTCTCAAAGCTAAAATTGACTTGGACGACAACCATTTATTTCCCTAGTTCCTGTTGAGCTGTACATGAACATCTTTCTGTTAAAAATGTCTCTACAAAGCTACTTTGTTCATGGCTGCATTGCCTAAAAGCCTTAACATAATTTTGCGTAATTTCTTGCATTCCTGATTATGTTAGGCTGTCTCTTGTGACTTCTTTTATTTGTGTTCCTCAGTAACTCTGTAGGTTTATTTCAGTATTTATCTTCAGACCGGTTTACTGTGCTGATGACTAAAGTTGCCATTCTCTCTGTTAACTTAGCTGATTTGTACTCTCTTTGTAGAGAAAGTGAACAATTTCCCCCCACTTCCTAAATTTATCCCGCTGAAGCCGTGCTTCTACCAGAACTTCACTGATGAAATCCCAATTGATTACCAGACTCTGGTGAGACGGATCTATCGCTTGTGGATATGTAAGTTCACCTGTATTGGAAACCTTGTCTACAGAGAAAGTGGAGGAAGGTTAAAAATGCAGCTCGGTATCTTTCTGAGTTTAATCTGGTGCTTTTTTTTTTTTTTTGTCTTTATCTTTAGGTTTCAGTTTTCAGTTTTGTTTTTAAATAGTAAGATGCCAGTTTTTAGGGATATAGAGTGGAAAGCTAACACAAAACCTAGTGAAAAAAAACTTCCATCCAGACAAATGGCTGATTTCCAGTGATATGGGAAGATAGTTTGCTAAGAGCCAAGATGTGTATCTAACAATCTTGCAAAATATGTGCAGAGCATTGGCAAAAAGATCATAATGCATGAATGATCCCTGCAGATTTCATAGCCCCAAAGTCTGGAAAGATTAGATCAGTCTTCTTCTTATCTAGCCTTTCCAGAGATATCGATACTGCTTCTTCCCAAATGCATCTGGCTGGCAAGAAGTTGTAAAAGGCAGGGTTACACTAATAAGTGTTAATTGAGTGATTATACGCTATCTAGGAAGTGCCACCTCTCAGCACCTCACATTAGATAGATTTTCTACAGGATAATCTGTCTTCAACCTGGCTCTTTGGGCAACCCCTCAGTACCATAATGAGGTCTCTCCACTTTGCCGTTGGTTGTCATGTCCCTCCGCCTTCCTCAGCATTGTGGACTTCTTGCCTAATTTTTCCAAATAAGAGTTAGAAGAAGTGATTTATTGATGACTCATCAGCCAGATGTCCTTGTTTAGACCAGTCTTTTCTAGGAACTAAGCGAATCAACAGGAGATGTCTGTTTCCTTCATGCCCATGAAGGGATTTCCTAAAAGTGTGGTTGCCAGCAAAGTCTGTTCTAGGAAAGAAGATTAGCTTAAATCTATTCCAACAAAGGGACTACTTCTTAAGAGTTGTTGTGTTATTGAACTTGGCATTATCACGTTATTTATTTATTTGATTTTTATTCTGACCATCTCCCCTACAAGGTGATTTTTGGGGAGCTGATTAGTAATAAAACAACTAGAAATTAAAGTATATTAAAATAGTAAAACTATGTAGGTTAAAATTTTAAAACTATATAAAATCAAAGCTAAGTGATGGACTTGTATAAAGCAAGCATACTTGCCGTGATGGTGCAGTGATTAGAATACAGTACTGCAGGCTACTTCTGGTGACTGCCAACTGTCAGCAGTTCAATAAGGTGGACTCAGCCGTCCATCCTTCTGAGGTCAGTAAAATGAGGACCCAGATTGTTGGGAGCAACATGCTGTTTTTAAAAACCATTTAGAGAGTGTTGTAAAGCACTATGGAGCAATATATAAACACTGTTGCTATACTTGAATCATTGAATTCAAAACAGCCGTGTAGTCTTTTCATACCAGCCTTTTCTTAGCTGATTGCCTCCTTAGGGAAATCCAAGAAGGCTAGACAGACTTCCAGGGATTCAGAGAGCCAAAACGCAGCTGAAGGGAAAGGCAAGACTGTTGACCGAGGGGAGGGGAGCTGGTGTCAGCTACCCCTCTTTCAGTGCAGGGAATCCAAATTACAATAGCTGGAACTGATAACATAGTTCAGATAACATGTACTTGAGACGGGTGGCCGTATAAATCCTATAAATAAACAAACAAATAAACAAAAGATCCGGGAGCCTGGATCTGATTTTTCATAATGTGCACTGATGGTTGAGAGTGTATTCTTGTGCATATTTGTACACCTTAGTGCAGGGGTCTCCAACCTTGGCAACTTTAAGAATTGTGGACCTCAACTCCCAGAATTCCTCAGCCAGCAAAGCTCTGGGAGTTGATGTCCGCAATTCTTAAAGTTGCCAAGGTTGGAGACCCCCGCCTTAGTTTCATCTTTTTATGGGGTTATCAACAGTCGTTTTTGTCTTTTAGAAATTTAACATCGTTTTAAAAAAATTGGTTTGCCGAAAATAAAGATCTGGGAGCCTTTATCAGAAGAAGAGACTAAGATGTATTTTAGTTTTTCATTAATTATCTTTGCTGCCTGAGAAAATCAGCTCGGTAGCCAAGAAAGCTTATCAACATCGAAATATACTAAAACAATAACAACACAGCAATATAGGAACAGAAAAATATTTTACTAAGTTAAAAATGGTAACAAAGCAGATCATCTCAGCTGTGGTTGATTGCCAAGGAAGCCTCTGTCATAAGGACATCTTCTGAGAATAGGACTTCTGGTCCTTGGCTGATTGGCTTTATTGTCAAAGTAGTGTTGAGAGAAACTTTCCTTACCACACCTTCAACCTTCACCCTTTTGTGAAATCCAATTCTCCACTAAGCTTTTAAACTCCATATTGTACATCATTGCTTTAAAGCAGTGGTCGCCAACCAGTGGGCCGGGGATTACTGGTGGTCCGCGAGAAAATTTGGTGGTCTGCAGAGAAATGTCACCCCCCCTAAAGCATCCCCCAAAGCAATTAATCCAGGCTGTGCAGGAACACAAGGCTGCACCGCCCACATGGCCCGCGGGAACACAAGGCTTGTGTCGCTTGCATTGCAAACAACGTGAGGTAGTGAGAGGAGGGGGGAAAGGGCGGAGGGGGGGAGCTTGCACCACTTGCCCCACGCGCCTGGCCTGGCCTGGCCTGGCCTGACCACTGGGCTGCTTCTTTCCGCTTCTTTCTCCTCTGCTTTTGGCTGCACGCAAAGAAAGCAGCAGAAGTCTTTCTTGCTCTCCCCCAAACTCTGCCAGAAATGAGTCTTTGGGACGCTGCAAGGCATCCTGCTCCAAGAGGCTGTGCCAGTGTGTCAAGTCTCACAAAGACTCATTTCTGGTGGAGTTTGGGGGAAAGAAAGAAAGACTTCTGCTGCTTTCCTTGCATGAAGCCAAAAGTCTCTCTCTCTCTCTCTCTCTCTCCCCGCCCCCCCTGAGAACAATGCTGGAGACGGTATCCTGCAATCCCAAATAAAGATAGATTGGTAGGAAAACGGGGTGGGGAATTTTCCTACAGACTTTTTGGGGGATTTTCCCAGGGTCTCTACTGCTTTCTGCAGAGATCCTGGGAAAACATCAGTAAGCCACTGCCAGTCAAAATTCATATTAATGGTCCCCAGGATTTAAAATTATGAGTTTGGTGATCCCTGAGGTCCAAAAGGTTGGCGACCCCTGCTTTAAAATGCCTTGGATTTTCCCAGTACTTTAAATGTCTCTCCTTTTTTTTTCTTCCATAGTTTACTGCATCACCTTGTGTGTTAACCTCATTGCTTGTCTGGCTTGGTGGATCGGTAGTGGAGAGGGTGTCAATTTTGGCTTGGCAATTCTTTGGCTTGTCCTCTTCAGCCCCTGTAGTTATGTGTGTTGGTTCCGGCCAGTCTACAAAGCCTTCCGGTAAATTTCACACTGGTGTATTTATCTCTTGTCCTTAAATTTCCAAAATCAGAGCTCCAGCTTTGGGGCTGCAGAATAAAGAAATAGGTTGGAGCGCCCTCCTTCATCGTACCCCTCAATCTTAATTGCAATATTTTGATCAAGGGATTGAACACTTTCCATCTGAGGAGAGAATGCAACAATTGGGGCTGTTTAGAGAAAAAAAAAGACACAGGGAGATGAATTGATGCACAATAAAGCATGACTGAGCAGGGATATCTTTTATGCCATTTCTTACATTAGAATTAGAAGCCACCCAAAGGAAATAATTAATAGAATGATTGTCCATTTACAGGTAGTACTTGATTTATGACCACAATTGAGCCCAACATTTCTGTTGCTAAGTGAGAGAGTTAAATGAATTTTGCCCCAATTTGCAACCTTTCTTGCCAGTTATTAGGTAAATCACTGCAGTTGTTAAGTTGGTAACATAATTGTTAAGTGAATCTGGCTTCCCCATTGACTTTGCTTGTCAAAAGGTCATAAATCTGAACCAGTTGTATGATAAGTATGGACCAGTTGCCAAGCGTCCGAATTTTGATCACATGACCCTGGGGATGCTTGCAGTGGTTGATAAGTGCGAGAAAAGTCATAAGTCACTCTCTTAGTCTTGCTATAACTTTGAACGGTCGCTAAATGAATGGTTGTAAGTCAAGGTATTTACTTGTATACTAAATTTATGTTTCTTCTTCCTCATGCTTCCCCCAGGTCAGACAGCTCTTTTAATTTCATGGCGTTCTTCTTTCTTTTTGGAGGCCAGTTTATCCTGACCGTCTTCCAGGCAATTGGTTTCAGTGGGTGGGGAGCGTGGTAAGTAAAGCAACTGATTTTTACACACCTTCCATTTCCCCCCCTCATTTTAGACCAGGG